AACCTCAAAGGCCCAATAGCATTTGGATGCATTCAGAAGAACAAGAAACTCGAGAAAGATCTCAAGAATTAAAGGCTTAGTGGGAGAAGAGAGCATTAAAATTCAGGAGACGGTAAAAGAAAATACTTGGGAAATTAAGGATTCATCGGAGACACTGAGGGGGATAAAACCATCTTCTGTTGACTCTTAAAAACTTCTCATATCTGATTTGCAGCCCTTACATATTCTCCTAAAGATAATCACTGTTCGATTATCAAATCAAATCTAGCTTCTCATTCTTCACCAAGTTAATTTCATGAAGGTATAAAATAAGAGTATTCAATTTTTTGAGCTGCTTGACTGAAAAGAGAAAGAATAGTGAAATTTCCTAGAGTAGGTAATGATTAACAACTTTGAGACAGATGAGTGGATTTGAAGCAATAGTCTTTCTTTGCTATGTAACCTTTCAGTGAGTGAGTTATATTATTTGAGCTTAGCTTCTTCCATGGCAAAGTGGCTATAAGATCTAGTACTTGACTAGCTTTTTTTCTTTTCTTTTGGTACCAGGGATCGAACTCGGGTCCTTGCACTTGTGAGGCAAGCAGCGGAACCATTGAGCTAAATCCCTGGCCCAACTGGCCTTGTTTTGTTGGGTATATGAGTTAACATATTTAAACTCCCTACCACATTGTGCCACCTACTGGGATTAAGAGTTGTTTGTACACTGTTGAATAATCTGTTTTTGAAGGACTTTATCTGTGCTCCTAACCTCAGTGAGTTTCAAATCATCTACCTTGTGTACTGAAACTATCCTGTATTTATTAATGTTCCTTATTGAAAAGGAAGATTAATGTCATTCGTCAGAGAGCTAACTCTTAGAGATTTGTGATGTAACTTCTTTCTTTACACTCAGAAGTAATTGACAGGGCTGGGGATTTAGCTCAGTGGTTCTGCCACCTGCCTTGAAAGCACAAGGTCGTGAGTTCGATCCCCAGTACACCACCACCCCCCCAAAGTCATTGACAAATGGTCTAAAACATTTTGTAAATCTGAAAATATTGTGAATCGTGAATAAGTATTTTTGTATGTAACACATCTCAATTCTGTTTTAAAGCTCATGCATTTTTGTTAATTGGTGACTGAATAAAGATGTGGGGTTTTTTAAATGTAAAATGGAGTACTATTCAGCCGTAAAGAATGAGAAACTAGACGTATTTATAGCTAAATGGATGAACATCAAGACTTTTATTTTTTTAATTTTAAAAATAAATTTTATTTTATCCCATTCCTCCCTGCAAACCCCCTCCCATCCCTGTGTACAAAAGCTTTGTTTCCATTTTTCCTTCTATTTTCACTTTTTTCTTGTCCCTTCCTTCCTTCCGCCTCCCTCCTCCCTTGTTCCCCTTCCCATTTGAACGCTTCTTTCCTATTTTCCAAAATCCACTATACATCTCAGTCCTTATTTCCACATTAAGTTTCTCACAACAGAGAATGCAGTATTTAAACATGTGTGTCCAATTTATTTGACTGTGGTCTCAAGGTCCATCCATTTAGCTATAAATTTAAGAAGCTCATCCTTTGAGACAGAGTAGTACTCCATTGTATAAAAAACCCACATCTTCTTTATCCACTCATCCGTGGATGGGCATTTGGGCTGTCTCCAAGATTTAACTATTACAGACTGTGCTGCTATAAACATGGGTGTGCATATATCATTGTGGTATGATGCTTTTAATTCTTTTAGGAAGATACCCAGTAGGGGAATATCTGGGTCAAATGGAACCTCTAGTTTTAGTTTGAGAAATCAAGGCAAGCTTTATTTTAGCTTTCAGTTTGTAGAGGTTTCAGTCCATAGCCGGTTCCAGAAAAGTACCAGGGCCCACTTGTTCAAGGCAGGTGATATATCTATATCTATATATCTATATCTATGTATATCTATGTCTATATCTATATATTTCCCACAGTGATGTACCACCTCCCTGCAGGCTTTACCTCCTCGCATCAGACCCAGCTATAAACCTATCACTGGCACTATCCAGTATCACACACCCATGATCCAATGTCACACATGGATAATCCATTCACCTCCTAAAAGCTTCATCTATAAGTACATAAGGCTTTGGGGGTGCATCTAGATATAAGCCATGACATTCCTTCCCTGTCCCCAAAAGACCCATATGTTTCCTTTTATTCAAAATGCATTTATTCCGTATCTAAGAGTTCCTAAAATCCTAATAGTTTCACCATTACCAAAAAGTCCAAGTTCAAATACTCCTCTGAAATTTAAGACAAACTCTTAGCTTTGAGCCCCTATAAAAATGAAAAGAACACTAAACACTTCCAACATACAATGGCACAAGATGAACATTCCCATTCTAAAAGGCAGAAGTAGGGGGATAGAAAGGAAAAGGACCAAAAGAAGACCAAAATTCACCAGGAAAAATTAAATCGCATAGTGCCATGTCCAGCACCTAAGGCAATTTGTGGCAAAATGCAAACTTCAAAGGGCTTGGATGGCCCCTCCCCCATGGCATTGCCAGTGGTTAAAGCCCTCATGTCCTCTCTCTTGGGCCATCTTTGCTCACTCTTTGGGGCGTTCTTCTGATAATCTATGCATCTGGCTTCTCCAGCCTTCAGGGATTGTCCCTTTTCAGTAAGTTCATCCTTCAGTCATATCCAGACAATGCTAAGCCAGTCAGCTGGGCATTTCTTAAGCTGACACAACAGTAAACTCACAATCCATCTCTTGTCAACTTCACACCCAGATACATTTTCTTAAACCATATTTAGTCTTAGATCCAATGACAAGTTCATAATCAGACCTGTGGTGGTATAAGTATCCTGTATACAAATGGAAAGGCACTAATTCCCTCCCCAGAATATGCTTACCTCTAACATTTCATAATTGAAACATTATAGCATAGGTTTAACAATACTTAACAACCAATATAAAGTCTATCAGTGTTAGGTTACTAAGGAAGCATATTTAGGAGAGCACAATTACAACTACAATCATCATTTCTGTAACTAGTGATGGGGTCATAGCTGGTATTTATAACTATACTCTACTACCTGTTCTGTATTTCCTTGGACTTCAGCAAGCACCTCAGCAAGTCTTGATTATATTATTGGTGGGGTGATCTATATCTTCACTCCTGAAGATTCTGGGCTATTTGTCATCCTGCCTGGGTAGGGTGGTGTAATTTCATAGTGACCTTAGCAGCAGGGCATGGTAATACTAAGTGGCATCCTAAGAGATGTGCACTTCAGGCATATTTGTCCTTTCCTCCATTATGGAGCAATAGTCCAATTTCCCCTTGATAATCTGGATCAGTCACCCCTGCCATCACTGCAGTTACCTTTTTAACTTGTTTACTCAAAGGCATGGGGAATCCAAAAATGACTGGTGGAAGTCTTAGCTTCCAGTTCAGTGGAATCATTGTTGTGCGTCCTGGACAAGCCTTCCTTCCTCTGGAACTAAGACTTCTAGGACAGCAGAACATAAGGTCATGGGAACAGGTAGCAGACATTTTGCTAGTGGATCGCTAGAGGTACTATTCCCAGTTCCAATCCTTGTTTCACTCATTGCTCCCATAGTTCCAATTTGTCTTTGAATGCAGCTACTTTATCTGCCAAAGTGAACGCAGTTATTTTTCTCCCCAGAAGTGACAGAAGTCATTGAGTAGGTTGAAAATGTCACACAAATAAGCAAGTTTTGTGACTCATTTTATGTTACTGAAATGTTTTGCTTGTGGTGACTTTTTCTAAAAGCAAGCTCTGGAGCAGCTCTCAACTCAAAAACTGGTGATCTATCTCTATCTTTAGAATGCCATCTAACTCTGTGTATAAGAGAAGATGTGTGTGCACGTGTGTGTGTGTTCTGCATCTATCGCCTCTTAGCGCTACAAAAACAGACATGAGTTAAGGGCATTTACTTTAACGTGATTGGTAATTTTAATCATATCCTGCAAAAAGTTAAGTAAAACTGATGTTTTGGGCTAGCTAGGATTTTTCTATGGATGAATAATGTGTAGATTTACATACAGACTTCTTTGAACTGACAAGTGAAGCCAGAAAACCATCCGGTCATAGCAGCCTCTCCCTCTATGTGTAGACACAAAATGACCACTTCAGTTTTCCTGATATGTAATCATTCAAAGACTTGAATAATTCTCCAAAGGCACAAAAACATACATTGTTGCTTTGTCAACAGTGGTAGACTCAGTTACATCGACTCATTAATCTTCGCTAATAATTGAGCTTCACTATCTTCTGTTTCATCAGTCCATCTAGTTATGGTGTTAGCTAAAAGAGAAACCTGGGCCACCTTTTGAACTCTGCCCTCTCCTAAAAGTTCTTGATAAACGTCTTGAGAAATAGGCAGTATCAACTCATCACCAATACTAAAGGATTCTTTTTTTTTTTTTTTGGTACCAGGGATCGAACTTGGTTCCTTCCACTTTCGAGACAGGCGGCAGAATCACTGAGCCCTCTAAAGGATTCTGGCCCTCTAAAGGATTCTTTAGCACCAACAGTGTGATTAGCCACTAAGAATGATTCTCAGTACATTTGATGAAGCAGTGACCTTTAAGAAGCTACTGTTTTCCATATTCAACATTTTTTTTTCTATTGATGAACTCCAAAGACTTGACTCTTAATGGAGAGTGCTTGATCTCTATGTGGCAAAACAGTTGTGAAGGTTTCATCTCTTGCATGGATAGCCAGTCCCTACATATTATACAAAGTATGCTTGGAGAATGTGAATCACCTGTTGCAATGAATTGAGTTTAAGTAGGACTCTTAGTATTTTCTTTTAAAAACATTTCTTTTTTGGATCAGCCTTAAAGTCTTCTGTTGTCTCATCATTGAGATTTTTCTCCCTTGTCCTCTACAGTGACATTTAGTTTTTACTCATTCTTACTAAGAATGGCTTGTATATTTACCAAAACTATGACTGAGACAGATGCACAATGTGTAAAAGATATGCACACAGAAGTGATAAATAAAATAAAGGGTGGGACATGCATAGATTAAAACTTTTGGATTCTGATTTAAAGCTTGCCACAGATGCAGCTGTAGAATTGAAGTATGTCAACTGACTTGCAAAATAAAGCCCACCACTTGATGCAGTGAAATTGTTACTTGCCACCCACTCATAGGGTTTTGATATGAGTTTACATACAATTGATTGCTTGTGGTGTCTGTGTAATCAAACTTTTCTGTTAATGTTAATTTATATTTGTTGCCTCTCTCTAGAACTAGCATCATGGCCTCAGCTCCACCTCAGTTCATCAGGCATTAGATTCTCATAAGGAGAAAAGCACATGCTTTATCCCTCAAATTTGCAATTTATAGGTAGGGTTTGTACTAATATGAGAATCTAATACATGTACTGCTGATCTGACAGGAGATCAGGTGCAGGGGGGAATGGCTGAAAATGGAAACAAAGCTTCCCTTGCTCACCTCTCACCTCCTGCTGTGCAACTAACCTATTTACTAACAGGCTGTAGACTGAATACTGGGGTTGGGGATCCCGGCACTAATGGATTTTTGAATATTGAGCAAATCCTGCATATCTGAATACATCACACTGTGTTATGATGTATATTTTAAATGAATTGCTTAATTCAATTTGTTGCTTTGTTGAAACTTTTGCATCTGTATTCCTGAGAGTTAGTAGTCTATCCTTTTCTTCTTTTTGTAATGTCCTGATCTGGTTTGGGTATTAGTGTAATGTTAGCCTAGTAGAATGATATAGGAAGAGCTATTGTAGAAAGTTGATAATTTCTTCCTAACATGTTTGATATACATCACGTGTGAATTCATCTGGGCTTCATACTTTAAAGGGTTATTAATTGGGGCTGGGGATTTAGCTCAGTGGCACTGTGCTTGCCTCGCAAGCACAAGGTCCTGAGTTCAATCCCTGGTACCAAAAAAAAAAAAGGTTATTAATTATTATGGTCTCCATTTTGTTGTACATAGTCTTATTCGGATTGTCTATTTCTTCTTTTGTGAATTTGAGTAGATTATGTCTTTCAAGGAACTGGTTAATTTTATCTGTGTTATTAAAATTGTAAGTATATTTTTTCTATAGTACTCCTTTGTTATCTTTTCAATATCCATGGACTCTACAGGAATGTATTTTCTTTCAATCTTGATATTAATAGTTTGTGACCTTTCTTTTTTTCCTATTTATCTTAGTCAGAAGCTTATAGATTTTATTGATATGTTCTAAGAATTAGCTTTTTTGGGATTGCTTTTCTGCATTGATGTCTTGCTTTCAATTTCATTGAAATTGATTTTAATTTTTAATTGATTCTAACCTTTATTGTTTATTTTATTCTGTTTACTCCAGTTTTAATTTGCTCTTCCAATACTAGTTTCCTAAGTTGGAAACTTTTTGGACATCAAAGCCTTTTTTCTTTGGTACTGGGGATTGAACTTGAACTTGGGACCTTGTGCTTGTGAAGCAGACAGCAGAGCCACTGAGCTAAATCCCCAGCAGTTGGAAACTTTTTAAATGAGTATATATTTGCAATATATAATTGTGTGGAGCTGGTATAGGTACATAACATAACTTTATTTTTTGTTCCTATTTGTATCTTCCACTCTTTTCTGTCTGTTGTGTTTTCAACTGAGACTTTTATATTATTCCACCCTCTCTCCTTTCTTAAATTATAAGTCATAAATCTTAAAAAATTTTATTGCTTCTCTTAGAGTTTGCATTATACATTTACAGCTAATCTAAGTTCACTTTCAAATAATACTATATCCTTTATTAAGAATAGTGAAATTACTCCTATTCTTCTTTTACATCCATTTTCTCATTGCTGTCATTCATTTCCCTTGCCTATAATCATTTATAAGTACATGTATATTATATATAATCCAACATGTTTTTGCAATTATTTTTAACATACTTTTGGGCCGTGGATTTAGCTCAATGGTTCTGCCACCTGTCTCGAGAGCACAAGGTCCAGAGTTAGATCCCCGGAACCAAACAAACAAACATACTTTTGTCTGTTAAATCAGTGAAGAATATGAAAAGTAAAAGTTTTACTTTCAATTATTCCTTCTCTGCAATGACATATATATATATATATATATATATATTGCATTTAATGTACCTTACCTAACCCACTAACATGATTGTTTAAAAGACCTCAACTTTAATGTGCTCAGATCACTTATGTTAGCCTACAGTTGCACAGAGTCCCTAACACCAAGCCTCTTTTATAATAAAGAATCTTTTATAATATAGAATATAGGTATATGCACAGTAGAAACACAGCTATTTGTATCATTTTCAAACTATAGCAAATGAAAACTAAAGCTCCTGAAAGAAATCAGAACAAAAAATAATCTCTTATCTATACAGGAATATAACACATGACTTTTCTCTAAGAAACCATGAAAGCAAGAAATACATGGAGCATACACAGATGGGCTTTTTGTAGATATGGTAGGAGTGAAATCACTAAACACAATATCCAAAAAATGCTAGCAACATAGTATATTGTAGAATATGGTTAGTTAGTGTTATGATTGTGTGGCTGAGCAGGAGCTGCTGCTTGCTCCTGCTATCCAGCATCTGGAGTGTCACCATTTAACACCAGCCCAGGAAAAGACTAATTCCTTAAGAATGTAGCATAAAGTATAGGAAGAAGACCATCATCCTATAGTCCTGTGATTAAGTCTGTCTTTTAGTGGGCCTCTGTCTTTATTTGGTGAGCTTTAAGGGTGCTTCTTACTGCTCCTTCCCTTGTTTGAGAGGACAGAATTGATTAACAGTCCTAGATTTGGCTATTTTCCTTCCTCATCTGGAGTTGAGTATCTGTATCCATGTAATCCTTTAAAAATTATCCCAAACTCCTTGTGTGTTAATGATAGGAACCACTGGAATTGTTGTCTTCATGTTTTTATATATAATTATAATTTTTCTCTATAAGATTTGCATACTACAGAGAAATATAGAATATTAGAATATTACACACAATTTGAAATGATAATCTACTCTTTCTCTCTTTTTTTTTTTCTTTCTCTCTTTTGGAAAGTACTTCTTGGGTTTGTGTTCATCCTTAAAATTTTTAGGAATTATTTTATTTATTGTATTTACTCATCTCTTGAACAAAAAATATGAAGGAAGAGATACCAAGGCATTTGAAAATGGAGGAAAAGTCACAAATGAAGCAACTTTTGAATCCTCAAATAACAATGAAAATTTTGTACCTTCTTCTTCAACAGTGAAAGAAACATGTTTTTAAGGGAAAAGACACTTCTCTCACTGTTTCCAAAAAAATAGTAAACTGATGTGGTAATATGCTATTTTTCTGTTCCTGGTCCTTCACTGAGAATTCCCACAATGTAAAATGATAGAAAAACAAATAAGGTTATCATGAAAGAAACAATAAAGAAAAAGGAATGGGAATAGTCATTGTTAGGGTATTGCTATACACTTGTGACTAACATTGGAATATATGATCCATGTAAATTTAAAATGAGAGGTCTGGTTAATGTATATTAGAGAAAAAATATTTGCTCAATTAATTGTAAATCATAATGAGTGACTAGAAAACTGTTAGAGGTGAGAAAAGAGAAATTTATAGCCTAAATAAGAGAAAAAGCTTGGTGTCTTAGCAAAGAAAGAGTGGATATCATTTTTGAAGGCTGAAGTCTAGCCTGATGGAGGGTTCATGCAATCTTGACATGTATTATTTATGTAGGTCATACATTTCACAGACCTCAGTAGTTGAAAATTTGAAATTGTGTTTGACTAATGACCAAGGTTCATTTTCTTCTAATAATATACTGCTGAAGAAATTGAGATACTGAAAAATTGGCAAGCGCTGATTATCAGAAAGCATGAATATAAGTTTATATGACAGCCATGGAAATTGATTAAGAAAAACTGCTATTAACTTCAGAAAGCAAATACTATTTAATGAATATGTTTTCATTTTACCTAGCCATTCCCTGGGTGAAGTGAAGTCTATGCCAGATAAAATATCAGCTATCATCATCCCATGTTTTTTTTGTTTCTTCATTCATTTGTTTTGGTGTGAAAAAACCATATCTTTCACATTTCTGTTAGGAGAACTAGAAGTAGAGTGAATAAAAAAAATTTTGTTGTATTCTCTAGTGTCATTGGCTCTATTATAATGAATCGGATAGGTTGTACATTTCTTCATTCTCATTGTTTGCAAAGTTTTTATGTCTTTTTTTATGTTTTTTTTTTTTT